CCAGTGAGTCAGGGTGCTGACCTCCTCCCTGTAAGCCGCCTCATCACCATTGGTGATAAGACCCACCACTGTAGTGTCGTCCGCAAACTTCACAATGATGTTGGAGCTGTTAGTGGCCGTGCAGTCATGGGTGTAGAGTGAGTACAGGAGAGGGCTCAGTACACACCCCTGTGGAGCACCAGTGTTCAGTGTGATGGGGGATGAGGTGATGCTGCCCAGTCTGACCACCTGGCGTCTGTCAGACAGGAAGCTAAGGATCCAGCTGCAGAGGGAGCTGCTCAGTCCTAGATCCTGCAGTTTCCTGTCCAGCTTCGAGGGAACGATGGTATTGAATGCTGAGCTGTAATCTACAAACAGCATCCTCACATACGTGTCTCTCTTCTCCAGGTGTGACAGGGCAGTGTGTAGTGTCAGGGCTATGGCATCATCAGTGGACCTGTTGTGGCGGTATGCAAACTGTAGAGGGTCCAGTGAGTCGGGTAGTGCAGAGCAGATGAAGTCCCTGACCAGCTTCTCGAAGCATTTTCTCACGATGGGGGTCAGGGCTACAGGTCGCCAGTCGTTCAATGAGGAGATGCTGGAGGATTTGGGTGCAGGGACGATGGTGGCCATTTTGAAGCAGGCTGGGACTACAGACGGAGAGAGGGAAAGGTTGAAGATGTGTGTGAACACTCCAGCCAGCTGATCCGCGCATGACTCGAGGACGCGGCCGGGAATCCCGTCCGGACCAGTAGCTTTGCGTACGTTCACCTTCCTGGTGAACTTCCGCACATCCTCCTCAGACACAGTGTGCGCGCTGACCAGGGGCGGATCTAGAAGGGTGGCATGGGGTGGCAAGTGCCACCCTAAAATGATCCCTTGCCACCCCAAGTGCCACCCTAGTTTTGCATATGACAGTGTTGTTTATTAAAATAAGATAGCATTAACAGTTTGAGCGTAGTTACAGTCAGCAGTGAATATAAATGCTAAAACTGAATATGTTGCATAGTGTTCCCCCCCTCCACCAACAAATGGTTCAGCCCAAAGCAGGACCGGCTTTTTTCTTGTTTTCAGTAGCAAGCGATGCTCATGATTGTGCCAGAGCACATTTTGAACAACACCATGGGAATTTCGCTTTTCACACAGGTGGGTGGATGTTACACTCTGGAAATGGAAGGAAGGTGAGAGTTATTAACCCTCTGAGGTCCACGGACACGCTGCACCTCCAGATCACATGACTGATGTGAGCACACATCTGTGAGTGACACAGCAACAAGCTGCAGCCACGCTGAGTCTCTGTTTCAGCTACATTGAAAGTTCGGACTTTAAAGTTTTTAAATTTTAATTACAGGCCAGTAAATCCAGAGTTATGATAAAAATATATATAAGCCACGCTTTTTTCTAAATACTGTGGTCACATTTTTGTGTGTGTGTGTTTTAAGCGTTTTCTAAAGACAGCACGAAAACAGTAAAGAAAGAAATAAAGCCACATGTTTCCTATCGGTGGAAAAATACACCATGGCGACCAATTTTTAAAAAAGTCAACACGTGGGATTTGGTTGTTTAGGAAAAGGGAAAAGTTTGGGGAGTGACGGTAACGGCAGTGAGACAGAGTGAGTTTTTAGATGTGGGAGATTTGTGACGTTTAGTGTGGAGTGCATACTTAGTGTGTTGTGTTGTGTAGTTGTTCTGTTGTGTAGTCGTTTTGTTTTGTGTGTCAGTGAGGGCGCTAATGACTGTCACAGAGCCACATTTGCAACGTAAACACTGTCACTAAGTAGAAAACCAGCGGAGTGATACACCTGCTGTTGTCAGGCCTGCAGGTTTGTCCCTGTGCTTTCTGTCTTTTGGTGGACAAACTTGTTTTTTACTGACACACATCATTTGTGGGGCATCTTATTGCAACACCTGATTGTTCTCTCATTTTAGTTTTAGTAATATTTTTAAATGGTTGTACAAAATGAAAAAAAATGGCAGGTGTATGGGGTGCATTTTTAGATAAATGGTTGTTTATGTTTACAAAATGTACAATTTATATTTGCATTTCAAGTTATAAAAATGTACTCAACATGTCTGTGTTTTTTTACAGTAAAAAAATTCTACTAGGATTTTAAGTTCTTTGTGTGATTTCAGATCAGTAACACTAATTCAGCATGTCGGTGAAAAAACAACTAAATTCAGTTGAGCTGAAAAGAAATCAAACAAGGCAATGGGGAAAAAACCAAAATGAAACAATTTCAGGGTGAAATACAAACATAAACTCAAAAGGAGTCAAAAATGGCCGGTTGTATTGTAGACCTCAGAGGGTTAATCCAACAAAACATGAAAAATTAGGTTTACATTTTTGTTCATGACAGTGCAGATTTCTGACATTTTGTGTAATTTAAGCTGTAACAATGTGACTGTTTTTAACAAAAACAGTGAAACTTAAGTTAGACTTGTGTTTGTAAATGAAGCGCCCCATGTTGTGTAGCTTTCTGGATTTTATATTTATTGGGCTACATATTTATTTATTCTACAGGCTATACAGTACATAAGATCAAAACTCACATGTTTTATGTAACTAGTGTGTAATTATGTGGGCTACAGACAATAATTAAGTTATAGACTATATTTATATGAAAAACTTGCATACTTACTGCATTTGAATCATTTAACCATGTGTAACCACCTGCATGAGTGTTTGAAAAAAAAAAAGGCTTTGATTTTGCCACCCCATTTGATTTCTTTGCCACCTTAAGAAAATTTCTCTAGATCCGCCCCTGGCGCTGACGTCATCCGCGGTGCGCACACTGTCCGGTCTCGTGGTGTTCGCTGTGTCAAATCTAGCGTAGAATACGTTTAGATCCTCACACAGAGAGGCCGTGGTCTGCGGTGTGCTGGTTTTCCCTCTAAAGTCTGTGATCGTGTTTAGTCCCTGCCACATCCTCCGAGGGTTGTCAAACTGTTGCTCCACCCTGTCCCTGTACTCACGTTTGGCTGCTTTGATCGTCTTCCGGAGTTGGTAATGTGCGTGTTTGTAGTCCGATGTGTTCGCGGAGGCATAGGCAGTGCTCCGTGCCGCGCGAACATCTCCGTTAATCCAGGGTTTTTGATTTGGGAAGGATTTAACTGTTCTGGATGAGACGACATCTTCCACGCATTTCCTGATAAATCCACAGACTGAGTCTGTGTTCTCGTCGATGTCTTTAGCAGCCACGTGAAACATTTCCCAGTCTGCGTGATCAAAACAGTCCCGCAGCGCAGACTCCGATTGGTCCGACTAACTGTGCACCGCCCTTATGGTTGGAGCTTCCTGTTTCAGCTTCTGCCTGTAGACGGGCAGGAGCAGGATGGAGCAGTGATCTGATTGGCCGAATGGGGCGTGGGGGAGGGCTTTGTACGCATCCCGGGAAAGAGGTGCAGCAGTGGTGAAGTAGCCGGTCTCCACGAGTGTTGAAGTGGATGTGTTGGTGGCGTTTTGGTGAAACTTTCTTCAGGTTTCCTTTGTTAAAGTCCCCGTCTGTGATAAACGCTGCCTCTGGGTGTGCGGTTTCCTCGCTGCTGATCACGCTGTACAGTTCCCTGAGTGCTCGGTCAGTGTCGGCTTGTGGGGGAATGTAAACAGCCGTAATAATCACTGCTGTAAATTCCCTCGGTAGCCAGAATGGCCGGCACTTAATCATCAGGTACTCCAGGTCCGGTGAGCAGAAGGATTTGACCGGGTGCACGTTCGCATAATCACACCAGCTGTTGTTGATCATGAAACACACACCACCACCTCTGCTTTTCCCAGTAAGATCCTGTGACCTGTCCGCGCGATGCACGGAGAACCCCGGTAGTTGTATTGCGGAGTCCGGTACTTTGTCCGATAGCCAGGTTTCTGTGAGGCAGATCACGCAGCAGTCCCGCATCTCTCGCTGGAATGAGATCCGTGCCCGAAGCTCGCACAGCTTGTTCTCCAGAGACTGCACATTAGCCAGTAATAAACTGGGTAACGGTGGTCTGTTAGTGCGCCGTCTCAGTCGAACCAGAACGCCAGGTCTTCTCCCTCTGCGTCGGCGTTTGCGGCCTCCAGGGACAGAGAACAAAGGCGTCTCAGGTGAGATGAATGGGGGGTCTGCAAACGGAGCGTCCGTGTTGCAAAACTTGAACTCCGGAAAGTTATAAGAAAGACCGTCTTTTATGTCCAGTAAGGTTTGTCGGTCGTACACAAGGAGACACGTGCTAGTCGTGAAAAAATAAAGGAAAAGTAAAATTAAACACAAAAAACAGCTGTTGCTTGGGGGAGCTCGCGACGAGGCTGCAGCAAAACACCCTGCAGCTGTTTCACATTTTCTTGCAAAAGCTCGAGAGGTGGTTGTGTTTTGTGACGTGTCGGGTTTCAACCTGCAGCATCCAATAATCTAGAATCAATAATGATGTTCAGCTGCAGCTGTGTGAAGAGGAAAAGCAGAAGTGTTTCGTTGTTGGTGGATTTCACACCCATGTGTACTTCTGTGTTTGTGATGACATCATCCCCCCACCCCCCACGGTCCTCACACACTTCCCCTTCCTGCCCCTCCCAGGGCAGAAAGCAGAAAGCAGAAGTTCAGCTTTTGGGAACATGAAACATGTTTCTGATGAATCGTCACTTTTAGTGTTTTCAGTTTAAACTCTGCTCCCTCTGCTGTTACCGATGGATCGACTGATCAGGTCTGAGTCTGTGACTTTGGAGCAGTTTAGTGAAGATGTCTCTGAAACTTGACGGTGGTTTCGGTTACAGATGTGACTCATTTAAGCCTCACGCTGCCTTCACGTCTGTATTGATAGCTGATTAATCACTCTGGCTGACAACCGCGTGTGATTCCCACGCGTGGTGGGCCTCCAAGTATTTGATTGACTCATTTCAGAGTGGAGCCACTGATACTCAGCCCTGCACTCTGATTGGCTGGTGAAACAGTCTGTCTGCAGCCAATCAGAAGTCGTGGGTTTGAATCCGCTGGCTGTTCTCAGCAGGTGCTCCGGTCCCCTCATACAGCTCTGTCTCATCTGTTTCTCAGAATAAGGAGAAGGAGCGCCTGAAAGAGAGGGAGAAGGAAGCGAGAGAGAGGGAGGTGCGCTCCAGTAATGGCCACCTGTTTACCTCACTGACAGTGTCCTCCACCACCCTCTGCTCCTCCTGCAACAGGAGCATCACGGCCAAAGAGGCGCTCAGCTGCCCAGGTAAGCACACCTAGGGATGGGTATTGATAAGATTTTCACGATTCGATTCCATTTTCGATTCTGTTTATCGATTCTTTTTAAAAAGGAGAACACTAAGGTCGATTACCTCAGAACTTTGTTTTATATCTTCTCTTTGAACAAGATAGAAATGTAGGAGTAACATGGCCTTACAAACCCAGCAGTGAGATCTTAAGAGATCCAGCCTGCGGCTCTTCAATGGGGCGTCACAGGGTCCCCAGGAAAAAAACATTGTAAATGTAAAATAATAAAATAAATATTCTTCTGTAGCAATAACAAAGTATAACATAAATTATTCTGCAGCAATTACACAAGAATATCCAGTAATGTCCCTGCCTACAATTAAACACATTCACTTACTGAAAATCATCTGCTGTGGCAAACGGGTGCAAGCCTTTGACCACAAACTGAGTCACTGCTCGGTGACGTTCGTCTATCCTGCCTGAAAGGAGACGCTACCGGCAGACTGCAGCGAGAACTGGCAGCATCTGAGCCAGACTCTGTCTCTCATCATGGTCACTAAATGCACAGTAATGGCAGGTTTGTAATAAGGCAGATCGCGCTAACATAATATGTTAGTTGATTATTTACCTGCCGCATTAACGGGAGAGGACGTGCAAACGTTACCGCTGCTGCTGGGTTGAGATTCACGAGTCCGGAGCGGAATTAAAAACACGACGTTCATGTAAGGTCATCGCGTGTTTTGTGAGCAAATGCTTTTGCATATTTGTAGTGTTTCCTCCCTTCAATGAAATCTCTACTTTGCAAGTATTGCAAGTTGCCCTGTTGTCATCCGTTCTCGTAAAGTGTAACCAAACTTTTGAGCGTTTGAGCCGCCGTGTTTCCTGCCAGGTAAATGACGCTCCGCGACGTGGTGACGTCATTCGGGGCGACTGGAATCGATAAGGGAATCGTTTGCAAAAATGGCAAACAATTCCAAGGAACTGAAACAGTGGGAACCGGTTCTCAACAAGAACCGGGTTTTGATACCCATCCCTAAGCACAACTGTACAGAGGGAGGGTTTACAGTTCATTTACACACAGGAAACTTTATTTATACAGTCGATTTACAGATTGATCAAACTTGTGTGTGTGTGTGTGTGGGGGGGGGCTTGTCTGCTGTGTGTATGACAGACGGTGTGTTAATCCTCCTCACAATGAACAGATGTACCTCCGGATTAACACACACAGAGTCAGCTGAGATCAGTGTAACACAGTAAAATCTCCTTGTTGAACACAACAGATTGGTCATGTGACCACATGTAGACCTCAGGAGCGGGTGAAAGAAGACTCACCCCTCTTCCCGCCCCATCCCCCCAAGCCCCTCACCCAGTGTGTATGTGTGTGTGTGTCAGCCTACACACCTTGTTGTCCTGCACTCTGATTGGCTGCTGCAGATGCACCCTGAGAAGTGGGTCAAGGGGACTATGTCTACGTGTGTGTGTGTGTGTGTGTGTGTGTGTGTGTGTACACAGACTTCAAGTCAAGTGGCTTTATTGTCATTCCAACCATGTACAGTGGTACAGTACACAGTGAAAGGAGAAAGCGTTCCTCCAAGACCACAGTGCTACAAATGACAGCCAATCAACACAAGACAACATAAAGTGAAATATGTCAAAACTGCAAAAAAACAAAACAATGACAGCGCAACACCAGACAGAACAGAACGATACAGACAGACAAATCTTTGGGTAGAGCAGGGGTGTCCAACTCCAGGCCTCGAGGGCCGATGTCCTGCAGATTTGGCTAAATTACCTCCTCAACACGTTTTAAAGTTCTCCAGAGGACTGGTAATGAACTGATCGTTTGATTCAGGTGTGTTGACCCAGGGGGAGATCTAAAACCTGCAGGACACTGGCCCTCGAGGCCTGGAGTTGGACACCCCTGGTGTAGAGCAACTCGAAGACTGAAGAAAGTTTATAAAAAGAAACTTACACACCCAGAACACAGAGTATTTTTAACTGTGTGTGTGTTGTGGTTTACTGGCGACATCTTCTGTGGAAAAAGTGAGGTCAGCACAGTGAACAAATGTGTGTCTTTAGCATGTAAGTGGTCTCTTTCTTGCCTGGTTTCTGCAGGTTCCAGTACCACTGTGGTAGTTGGGTTTCTCTCTCTCGCTTCTCTTTTTTATTTATACAGCATCAAATCACAACAACAGTTGCCTGAGGTGCTTTATATTGTAAGGTAAACCCTACTATAATACAGAGAAAACCCAACAATCATATGACCCCCTGTAAGCAAGCGCTTGGGTGACAGTGGGAAGGAAAAAATTCCTTTTAACAGGAAAAAACCTCCAGCAGAACCAGGCTCAGGGAGGGGCGGGGCATCTGAATCTTAAAAAAGTTGTAGAGTTTCTGTTGGACTTCACAGAGTCCGGCAGCACAACAGATTCTGTTCTGTAAACTTCAGACTGTAAGAAGCTCGTTTACAGACTGTTTCCTGCTGGATTAATTGAAGGCTTTGCAGGGAGTTCCTGATAATAGTGCTGATAATAATAATCCAGCCTAGAAGTAATAAATGCATGAACTAGTTTTTCAGCGTCTGTTCATTGTTTCGAATTTCAGAGATATACATTTTCATTGTATACCAAAGAAAATGTATGCTGTGTCTTCTAATGATGCTGCCTAAGGGAAGCATGTATAATGTAAACAGAATTGGTCCTAGCACTGAACCCTGTGGAACTCCATAATTAACCTCAGTGTGTGAAGAGGACTCTCCATTTACATGCACAAACTGGAGTCTATTAGATAGATATGATACAAACCACTGCAGCACAGTACCTGTAATACCTACAGCATGTTCTAATCGCTCTAATAGGATATTATGGTCGACAGTATCGAACGCTGCACTGAGGTCTAGCAGGACAAGCACAGAGATGAGTCCACTGTCAGAGGCCATAAGAAGATCATTTGTAACCTTCACTAAAGCTGTTTCTGTGCTGTGATGAGCTCTGAAACCTGACTGAAACTCTTCAAATAAACCTCTGCAGATGATCTGTTAGCTGTTTGACAACTACTCTTTGATATAAAGGAAGGTTGGAGATTGGCCTATAATTAGCTAAGAATGCTGAGTCACCCCATTTACACCCGTGTCTCTCTTTACCTGTGTGTCTCATAGCATGTAATGTCACCATCCACAATCGCTGCAGAGACAGTCTGGCGAGCTGTGCTAAGATGAAGCAGAAGGTAAGAGCAGTCTCTCTCTCTCTCTCTTCTTACCTGTCTGTCTGCACACACCTGTCCCAGTCCTGGTAGGCTACAGTCACACTGGGGAAAACAATGGTTCGCTCTTGGTTTACATCTTACATCAGAAAGCTTTGCTATCAGGGTCTTTCTAAAAAAAAGGTTACATTAACTTCAATTCAATTCAATGTTATTTACACAGCGCCAAACCACAATAGTCACCTCAAGGTGCTTTATATTGTAACGTAGACCCCACAATAATACATACAGAGAAAAGCCCAACAATCATATGACCCCCTATGAGCAGCACTTTGGCGACAGTGGGAAGGAAAAACTCCCTTTTAACAGGAAGAAATCTCTGGCAGAACCAGGCTCAGGGAGGGGCGGGGCCATCTGCTGCGACCGGTTTGGGTGAGAGAAGGAAGACAGGATAAAGACATGCTGTGGGAGAGAGACAGAGATCAACACATACATGTTAATCTCTGCGGCTTTGCAGCGGATGGTGCAGCCGCTGTGATAGGTGTCACACCACTGAGTGAAAAAAATCAGCCCTAACCTGACCGTCATTCAGTGCACCGTTCACAGTTAGAACAATGATGTGGTAAAACATATTACTTTCACATATTTATTAACTCTGAAAATCTGAAAGTCTACTGTTGAATTCAGTGAATGGAGCAAGATGCCTCCGTTCTTGCACAGAGGAAAGATGTGTGGGGAAAAAAGGGAATTGATGCACTGCAGTAAAAATAAATGGCATCAAAGCATACTTTTTTCTTTGGGACATCCTGTAGTGGAATATTTACTAATTCTTTCTTTAAGCTGACAGCATTTTGTGCTGTTGCATATAATGAAGTTGTGTGACAGCTGGTGAAAAATAGCACAGATGAGGCATTCACCTGCACTGAGGATAGTAAAAGAAAGAAAATGAATGATGCTCTGTGTGCACACTACTGAGAAATGTTGTGTAATTTTTATTGTGCACTGATCTTTGTGTAGAAGTTTGACGAAAACACTGAACTGATCGCTGGAAAAAGGAAAACAGGATATTTCCATGTGTGCGTCCTGTCTCAGGATTCTCCTTGCTCAGTTCAAGTCGTCTCTTTGAGTAAGCTTGCAATATTATTGTGGAGCAGGAATATGTGGGGCTCGACTCTGAGCGCGCCAGGAGTGAGTAAAGATCAACAGAGCCAAAGGCTCAGGGCTCCGCCCCCTCATTCTAACTGTTAAGCAGCTAATCAAGTTAGCTTGGAGAAGCTGAGGGAGCTCAAAGTAGTTTCTCACAGGAAGAAAGCAAGAATGAGTCAGCAGGGGTTGGTCGGCCGTGTTAGAACGAGGGGGTGGAGCCCTGAGCACGGCTCGCCAGGTCTGTCATGGACAGACATGGTGTCATTGGAGATTCTGTAGTTGGTCACACCAAGGCGATTCCCATAGTGAAACACAGAGCGAAGTTATAAAAAGAACTGCCACAAACGTCGGTGACCCGGGTTTTTGGAGCAGCTGTGTTGCTCATGAACGCAGGCTTTCTCTCTCTTTTTGGTCGCTCCAAGGTTGACCTGTGTTTCTCTCTGACAGCAACAGAAGCTGGCGTTAGCGAGAAATAGTTCAGCTCTGCAGAACGTCGCCATGAGAAGCAAAAGTGAGTCCTGTCACCTAAAAACATCTCCTTTTCCTCTTCTTTTGCTGTTGTTTGTCACAATGATGACTTTTTCTTCTTCTCTGCTTCAGCGCCTATGATGAAGGAGCGACCGAGCTCAGCCATCTATCCTTCTGACAGCCTTCGTCAGTCGCTGCTCGGCTCCAGACGCGTTCGATCTGGCCTCTCGCTCGCCAAAAGTGTCTCCACAAATAACATCGCAGGGTGAGGCTGAGCACGGAGCTAATTGGCTGCTGGCTGTTGTGGTTGAGCAGGAGCATCAGAAACAGGAAAAGCAAATGTACAGACTAAATTGATTATGGGTGTTCCTAATAAACTGACCACTTTGTGTGGAAAGACTGGAAATCGGAAACATTCAGCTGAGCTAAAATATAAACCTCCAGGTCACAGACGAGGCTCCGGTTTGCTCGGCTCCGACATCGCCATCTTGTGGTTCTTGTGGTTGCAGGAAGCAGCTGCTGGGAGGGTTAGAGATATGGCCGCAGAGCGAAAGAAGTAAAATTCATTATATGCAAGAATAAATTCACGCAGAGTTCATTAAGAATAAAACATAAAAAAATTAATCCAGATGCTGACATCATCAAACCGCCACCCATCACAAAGTGAGGTCTTGATGCGTGCTCAGTCATCCAGGTGAGTAAATCCCATAAAGTCGATTCTGTTCATCTGGATGTTTTCAGTGGGAGAAACGTTTCGTCACTCATCCAGGTGACTTCTTCAGTCTCAGCTGACTGCAGGTTTCCAGCCTCATAAACAGGACATTTGCTCAGTGACTGAAACCAGCCCACAGAAACGTTTCTCCCGCTGAAAACATCCAGATGAACAGAATCAATTTGTGGGGAAGGTGAAGCAAGCTTTTAAATCGCATCCAGTGAAACTAGTTCAGTGTTCTGTGGGGCAAAAGTAAAACACTGAAGCTCTCTATCTTTAAACTAATGTACTCTACTGTACTCGATTACTGTAATCGAGTATTGCAGCTTCAGTGACTTGAAAAAGTTTTCGATATGACGAGCTTCAACACACTCAGACATTCAGACATTTATTAATTGCCACGGCAGTCAACAGCTGACATGCTCACCTGCTTCTCTGCATCTTCACACCATCAGAGCATCATAAGTCACCTTTCTGTCTGTCCTCAGTGTGACCGAGGACTCTGCAGGTCTCAAGAGGATCCTGTCTCAGTCCACAGAGTCTCTGAACTTCAGGAGCAGGACTCTGTCCATGGAGTCTCTTACTGATGACGGTCTGTTAGTCACTTTTATTGATTACTATCAGATCTTAATTCTGTGAGCAGGTGGCGCTGTAACCTGATGGGATTCATTCTTTCTGTGTGCAGCTGAGTGGAGCCCTCTGCTGGACGAGCTGCAGAAGGAGGGCAGCTGCGTGCAGGTCGACAGCTGGAGCCTCGCTGTGGAGCCCAACTTCCTGCAAACACTTCACAAAGACCTGATCAAGCAGCAGGACGTCATCTACGGTACAGCAACAGTCACCAAACACACACACACAACATGTGGACTCGTTACACCTGCGGGAGATTTAAACTTGGAGCTCATACAGCTTCCAGATGTGTGGGAATTTTTGCCCATTTGTTCAGGAGAGCTTTTGTCAGGTCTGGCACTTGGCGTCTCTGTTTTAGTTCCTCCCAAAGGTGTTTGACGTGTCAGTGCTCTGTGTGGGCGGGGTCGGGTTTTCCTACAGTCCCAACGAAGTAGCCAATTCTAAAACCTTAACTAAAGCGTGGTCTACAGCTGTGCGTGTGCTCGCCACAGCTGGAGAAGAAACGTGACCGAGCTCTCTCTTTGCCTCAGAGCTGATCCAGACCGAGTTTCACCACGTCCGCACGCTGAGGATCATGGAGGGCGTGTACCGGCGGGGGATGCTGGAGGAGGTGATGCTGGAGGCGGGGGTGGTCCACACCATCTTCCCGTGTCTGGACCAACTGCTGGAGCTTCACTCCCACTTCCTGTCAGAGCTGTTGAACAGGAGGAAGGCGGGTCTGGTGGAGGGCAGCTCCACCAACTTCACGGTGCGCAAGCTGGGAGACCTGCTGGTCCGACAGGTACGACGACTCCACCTCTTGCACCCGCACCTTGCTTCTAACAGGGCTTCTAAGGCTACGTTCCCACTGCAGGCGAAAGCGCATCAAATCCACCATATCCGATCATGGTATGGCAGTTTGAACAGCACAAATCCGACATTTTCAAATGCGACCTTTTGTATGTGGTACTGAATCCGATACATATCTGATGTTTTAGAAAGTGACTGCTGTTTGATGGTCATGTCGCATTAAATTAGTCTTTTACGTCACTGACAAAAGACAGATCCCAATTATCAGCGCTGGAGAAGACAAACGACTCCGTGTCCATATATACATCTGCACGGAGGTAGCAGCCACTGCTCCAAACAAGGCCATTGTTAAAGCACGGGCTCTCTGTTTTCTCAGTGTCCTTCTTTCTCTAATTAATTTGTCAAAATTCTGTCGGTTACAACTGTGCAGAAATTGGTAGACTGCTGCAACAACACCTACCGTGAACAGAGCGCATTGTGTGTGACGTCTTCTTTTGCACATGCAGGCCGCTTTGAGACGTTCACACTAGAGCACGTTTGCTGTCACATTTTATTTGTAGTGTGAACAAAAAACAGACAAAAAAATGGATGGATTTATTTAATAAAACCCGAGGCTTGTTTGCCCGGAACTGAACGTCACGTTTGTCAACATAAACCAACCACTTGGCACTGATTTTAAAATGGCATTCACCAGACGGTCGCTACAAAGACACGCCAAAGACCTGAGTTTATCCACCGAACCTACACGTGTGTGTGTGTGTGTGTGCAGTTCTCAGGGCAGACTGCTGATGACTGGAAGAAAGTTTATTCAGAGTTCTGCAGTCGACATCCGAAAGCTGTGAAACTCTACAAGGAAGTTTTGGCTCGCGACCGGAGACTGCAGCAGTTCATCAGGGTGAGGCGCTCACCTGTGGCTTCAGGCTGATCCTGGAACCGTCATGGTCATTGTGTTTTGATTTACGCTGCTGCAAGCTGGTTCGGCCCGGGGCCGGCTGGTGTTTCTGATGCTGACTTCCTGTCTCCATCCTTTCCCACAATGCTCAGCGTGTGACTCGCGGTCCTCTGCTGCGGCGTCACGGCGTCCAGGAGTGCATCCTGTTGGTGACGCAGCGGATCACAAAGTACCCCGTCCTCATCCAGCGAATCCTGGACAACACTAAAGGTAATCTGTGACTTTTGACCTTTAGGATTCTCTGATGACCTTTGACTTATGACTGTGATGAATCCATAACCTCCTGCAGGCTGCGAAGAGGAGGCACAGGCTCTGAGCCGCGCACTGGGCCTCCTGAAGGAGCTGATCAGCTCTGTGGACAAAGAGGTCCTGGAGCTTGACCGGAGCAGGAGGCTGCAGGAGATCCATGCCCGCCTGGACCCGCGTGCCCAGGCAGAGGTCCGGGGAGGAGGTGTGTTCAGAGGTGGAGAGCTGCTGAGGAGGAGGCTCCTGCACGAGGGGACACTCCTCTGCAAGGTCCAGGGTACCAGGATGAAAGGTAGTGGGCTTTATCACCTGCTGTGGTGCAACATGCGTGTGGGCAGAGCTTGCAAGTCACGACTGTGTTTGTCTCCAGATGTGCAGGTGCTGCTGATGTCAGACATCTTGGTTTTCCTCCAGGAGAAAGACCAGAAGTTCACCTTTGTTGTGTCACTGGTGAGTCATGCCTGATAACATTCGAAAGCCCCCTGACCTTCTTCAGCTCTGTTCAAGGTTTCCTGTTTGCTCACCTGTCTGCTCACCTGCGTTTCAGGACAAGTCTCCAGTGGTCTCATTGACTAATTTGATTGTCAGAGACATAGCCAATCAGGAGAGAGGGATGTACCTGATCAGTGACTCCACCCCCCCGGAGATGTATGAGCTGCACGCCTCATCGAAAGAAGACAGGAAGACTTGGATGAGCCGCATCCAGCAGGCCGCCACCAGGTGAGCAAGACACACGTGTGTGTCCTGAGGAAACGAAGTGCTCTGGCTGTGCGTCATTTCCTACCCCGATGACGACAGTTATCACAATACAGAGCGCCTGTAAATTCAGTGAATATAATACAGTCATATTCCTGCAGTCGAGTGTCTCGACCAGTGCACGGCATCGTGTATTTGTGGGAGTTTTGATGTCCGGTTTTCTCTTTAGTATATGACGTGCTGCAGGAATCAGAATCACAACTATCAAATGAAATGATGTATTTAAGAGCAACAGGCTGAACCAGTTAAATAATACAAACATAAGAAATCGCTCTAATACTCACAAACGGCTCAATTATAAATATCCATAATATTACAGAGGCCAAATATATATAATTGATATTTAACCTGTGAAACTGGTATTTGTATTTGTTACCTTCTGCACCTCTACTTAGTTTTGGTGACCTTAGTTACTGTGGTAACTACTGCAAACTGTAGTTACTGTAGTTACTGTGTACTTTAGTTACTGATGAATTCTTTTCTGCAGCTGTCCGTGCAGAGACGACTTTCCTCTCATTGAGACAGAAGACAAAGCGTTGCTGCGCAGACTCAGAGCTGACATCCAGCAGAAGGACAGGGAGGTGCTGGAGCTCTTACAGGAGCGCGTCACTCTGTTTTCTGATCTGGTGGAGGCGTCTGGAAGAGGAAAGGCAGAAGAAGAAGGAGACATGGAGGTCAGGATCTCCTCCTCCTGCAGGAACCTTTTTAGAGCTGACACTCCTCAGGCACCTCAGGCCGAGCCACTCCTCCTCGCTGCCATCGGTGAAGGTGAGGAGGTGCTAATGCTTCTTAGGTCCAGAACGATGGACTAAGACTTTAACAGATCATGTGACCTTTGGTGGAGATTAGGGTGTAACGCGGTAAAGGACCAGGGCGCCTAACTGCAGCTTCATAGATAATGAGCTAATCAGGCTACGGAGCCTGAGTGTGTGAATAAAACACAGGAAACAGAAATAGAGCTCAAAAGTATACAGAAAATAAATATATGCATATATATCACGAACAGAAATAATGGTAATAACACAAAACAGCTTATTAGGTCCCAAAAGGAGGTGGGACGAGGTTTAGTCCAGTGTGAGATCAGTTTTGTTCCATTGACCTGTGATAGGGCAGCACGGTGGCACGGTGGTCAGCACTGTTGCCGCACAGCAAGAAGGTCCTGAGTTCAATTCCCCCATCAGGCCGGTTTCTTCTGTGTTGAGTTTGCATGTTCTCCCCGTGTTTGCGTGGGTTCCCTCCGGGTACTCCGGCTTCCGTCCAAAGACGTGCAGTTAGTGGGGATAGGTCAATTGGTTAATCTAAATTGCCCATAGGCATCAATGATGTTGAGTTGCATTTTTCCTCATCCTGAAAAATGCCACAACCATGACCCCTACTAAATCTATTTCTAAACTATACAAAGCTCTCTCTAGTGGCAGCAAGGATAACACTTTATACACTAAGGATAAATGGGAAAGGGAATCAGGAATTGGTATTTCTGTGGGGGAGTGGGAAAATGTTTGGTACTGCCAGTGGTCCACGTCCAGTTCTATGAGCTGGAAGGAGCATGGCTGGAAGAATATTATTAGGTGCTTCAAGACTCCATATCAGGAGAGATACAAAGGGGCTCGACTGTTGCTAACCATTTTCATGTTTTTTGGGACTGTCCCAAGTTAAAAAACTGTTGGATAGGTGTTCAGGTCTCCTTAAGTGCAGTCTTTAACGTTCAAATACCTTTAGATTTCAAGGTTTTATACATGAGTTTGGTCCCCTTTCTGGAACGTAGGAGTGAGATTAAGTTGGTGCAATTACTCTTGGTGGCGAGTAAAAAAACAATTACTAGAAGATGGTTCAGCCCAGCCCAGCCTACCCTGGATGACTGGTTTGGGATCATTTTAGAGATATTTAGGATGGAAAAACTTACATATCTGTTAAGAAAGCAAAAAGCCAAATTCTACCACATTTGGAGCAATTGGATCCAATTCATCACCCCCACGAGGGCTGACTTCACTTGATCTCACTATTACTTGGTTGGTTTTTGTTTTATTTATTTATTTATTTATTACATTTACTTCTATTACTATTGCTTGTTTATTTACTTATTTGTTCACCATGATTGCAGCATGGGCACCCCCCCAGTTTGTGTTTATAGTTCCATGTAATGTGTTCTATATATCTCCTTCGGGAGAGCATGCGAGCAACTCTCCTAGTAATAGCTAGTTAACCTCCACCGGTTAATATGCACCCGCTGATCACTTCATCATTTGCTCTCCTGGACTTAATCTAAAACCTGGAAGGACTTTGTTCCCATGTTATTCATATACTGCTGTGCAGACGGTTTTTCTTCTCCAATCCAAATCCAAATATAATTAAAAAATAAATTGCCCATAGGTCTGAATGTGGGAGTGAATGTGAGAGCAAATGGTTGTCTGTCCCTGTGTGTCGGCCCTGCGACAGACTGGCGACCTTTCCAGGGTCTACCCCGCCTCTCGCCCTAAAACAGCTGGGATAGGCTCCAGTGCCCCCCTCGACCCTGTAAAGGATAAACGGAAGCGAATGGATGGATGGATGACCTGTGTGTATCAACAGTTCAATTTAGTCCATAGGAGCAGGGGACATGCAGCTGATTGACCCGGAACTTATACAGGGTTCATTCCCGCCACAATAAAGGGATTTGCGGAAGTGGGGTCAGATGTTGCCGTGGTTACATGGATGTAGCTCACCTGGTTCGATGTTTAAAATTGATATTTATGGGATGAAGCCATCACACCTCAGGTCTTTGTGCCACACATAAACATCTGGGAACAAAGAAGAACTGAGCATTAAAGGAAACGTTCTCCGAGACAGCCTCCACCCCGAGCAGCTTCCAGCGCTAACAGAGACTCGGTCCAGGCTGCCGGTTGCTCACCATCAGGCTCACCATATTTTCTGTTTCAGTCGACAGACTGACGGAGCTGCTGTCAGATGCCAGCATCCAGAAATCTTCCATAACCAACGGCAACCAGGAGATCAGCGGTGAGTCACCTGTCGCCTGTTTGTGCTCCGCCCCTTCGTGTCGTGATGCAGAAATCATCTTTCTGTTGCTGTTTGATAACCTGTCTCTTTCTCTCAGATGGTGACTCTGGTTCTCTGAACGGCTCTTTTGACTTGAACGACAAGTCCTCAAAGGTAACGCTCACCTTTCACCTTCTGCTCAGGTGTGTGTCTTAAAGAAGTGAAACTTTCAACCCTTCATTTTTCTTCTGACAGCTAAAATGTTTGAATGCTCAGAGGTTCCATGGAAGTTATTTACAGTCTTTAACCAATCAGTGAGCAATTGGTCATATGATCCCAATGTCACAGCAGGGTTTTGGTGGATTTTGTTTCCATGGAAACTGGAGCAGAAATGAAGATACAGGTGACAGTAAAAAACAAGTAAATGTTGAAGAATGTTTTTCTGAGGGGCTCGTTTACGTCTCACTGCACAGACGAGCGGGTGGAGCTACTTCTTCACTTACATGGTCGACGTTCCGCAACATTTCTCTTATTTATAACATCATCGTATGCAGCTGGTACAACAGAGGCTCCACCTGATTGGTCCGCAAGTTTCAGGTGGTTCGTGAAGCTGAACCTGCATCTGCACGATGCAAACCTTCAGTTGTGTTTAAATGTTTGTCTGCTGAACCACAGTTCTTCAAATAAATCCTCTTTATATAAACTGTATGTTTTCATATGTCTGAGTGAACCTTCAGAATAAGAGAAGGTCAGCTTGTCTCCACGTCTCTCAGTTTCAGCTCTTTTCTCTTTCAGGATGGAAATGGTAACCAGCTGCAGGAGCGAACCCTGAACGAGGTAACACCTACTTCCTCTTTTCTGAGTAACCTCTTGATACCAAGAAGTCAAAGACCTAAGCCCCTTCTCCATCAGTACCTACTCGGATCGCCTTGCCACAGTTCGCCGGTTTTTGGGGTTGGCACCACATACTGCAATAGTACCTGCTCGGCCCGGGTTCCAAGGGACCCGGGCAGGTACTAAAATGTGATGTCAGTTTGCGTGACACCGATTGGCTGGTCAGTGGCGTCATTCAAAGAGTCACGAAAGCAACTCGTTCACGAAAATCAAAACAGACATTTTTGAAACCCGACAACGAGGAAAAAGGCTGCAAAAACCGACACAAGGTGCACGAGTCTGACGAAAAGCCACAGACCCAGCAGCAGCTATACTGCTGGCTCCACGTCCACCTTTGTTGTAGTCGTCGCATATTAATCACGGGACACTCGGACATGTCGGTATGATGACGAACACGCACATTAGGTGTAACTGGACTGTAATAAAAGCAAGTCGATCTGAGTAGGTGCCAAAAGGGCTTAGATTCGCTTTGAAGATCGACATGTTTCTGTCTGTGTTGGGATGCAGCTCATGCACCGTTTCATACATTTTGATGTACAAAGTTTCTGCCTGTGCAGTTCTAACATCTTCAGCTGTCCTCTCTGCAGGACGTCCATCAGCGCTTGATCGGTCTGAGCACACAGCTTCACGCCCTGCAGGTCTGAAACTTATTTCTAGTATTGTTTGTTTATACATCCTGCAATTAACCCAAATAAATGTATAAATAGTGATTCATTTATTCAGTATTTATGTTATCAATGTTGCAGGCTGCTGTGATTCGTCAGGACTCAATGCTAGCGCTGTTGGTCAGTGCAGGCTCCACCCCCTCCACCACCCCCGGCTCTGCCCCTGGCCCCCGCCTCAGCCGGTCACTGTCACGTGACACAGGGTTGGAAGCCAGCGGGGAGGCGGTGCTGCTGCGGCGGCAGGTGGAGCTGCTACAGGAGGAAGTGACACGCCTCCGTCTGCGAGAGGAGGACCAAAACTGGGAGGGAGTGGAGCCAGGCACCAGAAGGAGGAGCAAAAATGGAGAGAAGAGTGATGTTATGAAAGGAGAACAGGTGAGTTGGGTTCACTTGTTCACCTACTGGGCAGGGATAGCTCAGTAGGTAGAGTGGTGGCCCCATGATCGAAAGGTCGGGGGTTCAACTCCGCTGAACGGCTACCCTGAGGTACCCCTGAGCAAGGTACCGTCCCTACACACTGCTCCCCGGGCGCTGCATTGGTGGCTGCCCACTGCTTCACTGGGTGAATGGGTTAAATGCAGAGGAACTATTTCCCTATGGGGACTAACACGCACACATTATATTACTAAAGCGCGATGAGTCGACAAAACTGAAATAAATCCGAGTTGTCTGTTGGCAGGTTAACAAGAGACGTAGCAGTCGGGAACTGGAGCTTCGCCCCCTCGCCCCACTAGCCACCGAGGATCCAGTCGACCAATTAGATGGCGTCCAAGAAGGAAATGAAGAGGAAGAGGAGGAAGTGATGAAGATCTCTCCTCGCTCTGACAGCCCCAGAGGTTAGTACCACTGATCAACAATCAATATGGAAAGCCCATGGCATTATGATGGTCTCCATGGTAACCTATTACCTCTGACCCCTCAGACCTGCAGGACATCCCAGAGGAGAGCGAGAGTTAACGCCCCACCTACAGCTCAGGGACCTCTGCTGTTGTCACTGCGATGCCACAGACACACATCGGACTCTTATTGTTAAAGGCCCTGGATATAATGCCATTGCCTGTTTTACAGTTTTTAGACCAAATCAGACTTTTGTTCTTGGAACATTTTCTAAAACTTGGAGCCAAAAGGGTAAGGGCGAGGTTAAATTGGCAACTTATTTTCCGCTTCAAACAAACTGGGTCATGTGATTAGATCACTGGTTTGATCTGTGCCCTTGATGTTTTTTGTTTCTTTGTTTCTTTGTTGTTTGTAAATGGGACCAGAGCATGCGTATCTGGAGCTGGACCTGGATCTGGATCTGGTCTGATCCAGATATTTTTCACAGTTTGTTTTAAGCAGACAGATTTTTATTTATTCTTTGAATCTGAGACACACCACACTACATTACCCAGAATGCCTTTGGACCAGCAGCCATCTCATATTTAAAGTTTTGATTTTAATGGTGTCTGATTTACAGAAACCATTACCAGTATGTAAGCATTGAAAGGACTGGGATTATGGGGAGGGATTGGAGGTTGGTGTGGTCAGATGTGGGTTTTGGGGGTCGGGACTCACGTAGTGCTGGATTGTAGGTCAGGTGTGTTTTTAAGGAGCACAGAGCTCCTTCTATTAGCATGTTAGCATGGCTGTGTCTCTTATACTTGTGTAGGACATTGGTTGAATTGACCAATCAGCTTGTTTCTTTTGATGCATGGAGGTGATGATGTCAGCTCCTCGTGTCGTCCGGTGATGATGATGATGGAACAGTGTTTGACATAGAAAATTGTTCATTTACAAAAAAGAACAACAGACGCCGGTGATGATGTAATCATGCGATCATATTGGGGTGGACTACAGCAAGTTTAACAAGTCTGCGATCAGTCAAAGAGGCCATGCCCCTAATAATGCAAACTCTAATCAGTTCAGACAGGAGAGTGTTATCTATAGAGACCAGTTTGTGAATCAGGCTGTAAGCATGTTTATTTTAACATGTAAGGGTTTTGGGACTGACTCACTGCTGCCTCTGCTGGACAGTAGAGGAACTGTAGTTTGGCGCTGATAAAGCAGAAAGCGTTACCGAAGAATGCGGGTATCCTCTGTCCTGATCATGTGTGATTGATCATCTCTGATCAGGTGTTTTATGGACAGTGGTCCCACCCCCTGTGAGTTCACATGATGTTCTATAGGTTTTGGAAACACAAAAAAATGAATTTGTAACATCAGGACCTGAATGTGATTTTGAAGTTTTTGAATAACTGATTGTGTTCAGGTTTAACGCTGGGAAGTTTCTACAGTGTGATTCATCACTGTTTTGTTATGTTTTTTTTATCTGAAGCTTTGGGATCCAAAACATTTCTGTTTATGCAAAAAAGCTCGCCAGGATGCACGCCTCACATCCAGATGTGCCGCTGTAACATTTCTTTTGAGTGTATTTTAACTGTAGTAACAATGGACTGAAGTAATTGTATTGATCTCTGATAAGTGTAGGTGATTCCTGCTGTACTCTTTATAAATCTAATCAGCTGCTCTTCGAGTATTTGTTTTTACTTTTAGCTTCAGATGAAACATGACTTTCAGATTTTGATTACTGATGCAGAAATGAATGAATTGATAAACTAAGCACACAGTGACACAAACTTCATTTGGAAAATTTATTTCCTGAAACTAAAAATAAACAAAGATGGCTGACATTCAATTCAATTCAGTTTTATTTATATAGTGTCAAATTACAACAACAGTCGCCTCAAGTGTCACGGGTGCAGGAGAAAGAGGACCCCAAAATGCGGCGCTCTGGCCAAAAAGTGTGCGTTTCCAAAGGTAGTGCCAAAAAACAGTGAAAGGTGCTAATCCAAAGGTGCTCCTCCTTAATCCCCAAGTGCAGCTTCGTCCGTGCAATTCCGTGTCTGAATGGTGCTTCCTGATTCTCCTCTCCGTGCCAATCTCCTGGGAGAGGTTGAAACCAAACACACAATCAGCGGGCTTCAAAACCAACAATCCACTTTCACCTAAAGTAACTAACGCTACCGGCTTGGAGTAAGCATTTGACGTTGACTGTCATCGTGCATCTTCCTTAAAGATGGAGGCTTAGTCCATCGTGGGCGATCGTGGCTCAAAGAGTTGGCAGTTCGTCTTGTAACCGGAAGGTTGCCGGTTCGAGCCCCGGCTCGGACAGTCTCGGTCGTTGTGTCCTTGGGCAAGACACTTCACCTACCGCCTACTGGTGATGGCCAGAGGGGCCGATGGCGCGATATGGCAGCCTCGCTTCTGTCAGTCTGCCCCAGGGCAGCTGTGGCTACAACTGTAGCTTGCCTAAGAAAGCTCTCCGCAAAGCCAGAACATCTTACTATTCATCACTGATTGAAGAAAATAAGAACAACCCCAGGTTTCTCTTCAGCTCTGTAGCCAGGCTGACAAACAGTCAGAGCTCTGTTGAGCCAACCATCCCTTTAACGTTAACTAGTAATGACTTCATGAACTTCTTCACAAATAACATTTTTATCATTAGAGAAAAAATTACCAATAATCATCCCACAGATGTAATATTATCTACAGCTACTCTTAGTACCATTGATGTTAAGTTAGACTCTTTTCCTCCAATTGATCTTTCTGAGTTAACTTCAATAATTACTTCCTCCAAACCATCAACGTGTCTTTTAGACCCCATTCCTACAAAACTGCTCAAATAAGTCCTGCCATTAATTAATGCTTCAATCTTAAATATGATCAACCTATCTCTAATGATCGGCTATGTACCACAGGCCTTCAAGCTAGCTGTATTTAAACCTTTACTCAAAAAGCATCTCTAGACCCAGCAGTCTCAGCTAATTATAGGCCAATGGTAAATGGCCTGTATTTATATAGCGCTTTTCTAGTCCCTAAGGACCCCAAAGCGCTTTACACATCCAGTCATCCACCCATTCACACACACACTGGTGATGGCAGCTACATTGTAGCCACAGCCACCCTGGGGCGCACTGACAGAGGCGAGGCTGCCGGACACTGGCGCCACCGGGCCCTCTGACCACCACCAGTAGGCGGTAGGTGAAGTGTCTTGCCCAAGGACACAACGACCGAGACTGTCCAAGCCGGGGCTCGAACTGGCAACCTTCTGATTACAAGACGAACTGCCAACTCTTGAGCCACGATCTCCAACCTTCCTTTCATATCAAACATCCTTGAAAGAGTAGTTGTCAAACAGCTAACTGATCATCTGCAGAGGAATGGCTTATTTGAAGCAATTAGAACATGCTGTAGGTATTACAGGTACTGTGCTGCAGTGGTTTGTATCATATCTATCTAATAGACTCCAGTTTGTGCATGTAAATGGAGAGTCCTCTTCACACACTGAGGTTAATTATGGAGTTCCACAGGGTTCAGTGCTAGGACCAATTCTGTTTACATTATACATGCTTCCCTTAGGCAGCATCATTAGAAGACATAGCATACATTTACACTTCTATGCAGATGACACCCAGCTCTATCTGTCCATGAAGCCAGATAACACACACCAATGAGTTACACTGCAGGAATGTCTTAAAGACATAAAGACCTGGATGGCCGCTAACTTTCTGCTTCTTATTCAGATCAAACTGAGGTTATTGTACTCGGCCCTGAAAAGCCTAGAAATATGGTATCTAACCAGATTCTTACTCTGGATGGCATTACCTTGGCCTCCAGTAACACTGTGAGGAACCTTGGAGTCATTTTTGACCAGGACATGTCCTTCAATGCACATATTAAACAAATATGTAAGACTGCTTTCTTCCATTTGTGCAACATCTCTAAAGTTAGAAATATCCTGTCTCAGAGTGACGCTGAAAAACTAGTTCATGCATTTATTACTTCCAGGCTGGACGACTGTAATTCATTATTATCAGGAAGTCCAAAAAACTCACTGAAAAGCCTTCAGTTAATCCAAAATGCTGCAGCAAGAGTCCTGACAGGGACTAGAAAGAGAGAGCAGATTTCTCCTGTTTTGGCTTCCTGTTAAATCCAGAATTCAAAATCCTGCTCCTCACATACAAGGTCTTAAATAATCAGGCCCCATCTGATCTTAATGGCCTTGTAGTACCATATCACCCTATTAGAGCACTTCGCTCTCGCTCTGCAGGCCTACTTGTTGTTCCTAGAGTATTTAAAAGTAGAATGGGAGGGAGAGCCTTCAGTTTTCAGGCCCCTTTTCTGTGGAACCAGCTTCCAGTTTGGATTCAGGAGACAGACACTATCTCTACTTTCAAGATTAGGCTTCAAACTTTCCTTTTTGCTAAAGCATATAGTTAGGGCTGGACCAGGTGACCCTGAATCCTCCCTTAGTTATGTTGTAATAGACGTAGGCTGCTGGGGGATTCCCATGATGCACTGAGTTTTTCCTTTCCAGTCACCTTTCTCACTCACTATGTGTTAACAGACCTCTCTACATTGAATCATATCTGTTATTAACCTCTGTCTCTCTTCCACAGCATGTCTTTATCCTGTCTTCCTTTTCTCACCCCAACCAATCACAGCAGATGGCCCCGCCCCTCCCTGAGCCTGGTTTTGCTGGAGGTTTCTTCCTGTTAAAAGGGAGTTGTTTTTTTCGCCGCCATGTGCGTATGTAAACAAAGGCACTGCGCATGTGCGTTTTACTCATATTCTATCGCCATATTTCATTTTCTTATCGTTGCCCAACATTACACCGGTATCACCGTGAACGGTATGATATGGCCCAGCACTGTCACCAAGTAGAAAACCAGCGGAGTGATACACCTCCTGTTGTCAGGCCTGCAGGTTTATCCCTGTGCTGTTCTCCTGTCTTGTGGTGGACAAACAATTTCTTTTTACTGTCACACATAATTTGTGGGGCATCTTATTGCGACACCTGATTTTAGTTTGAGTAATATTTTTAAATGGTTGTACAAAATAAAAATAAAAAAACGGCAGGTGTATTGGCTGCATTTTTTAGATAAATAGTTGTATATGTTTACAAAATGTGTGCATAAGTTTTCAAAATGTACAATTTATATTTACATTTCAAGTTATAAGAATAATTTACTCAACATGTCTGTTTTTTTGTTTACAGTAAAAAAGATACTACTAGGATTTGAAGTTTGTGTGATTTCAGATCAGTTGTGTTAACACAGTATGTCAATGAAAAAACAACTAAATTCAGACACGTGAGGTCAAGCTGAAAAGAATGATACCAAACAAAGAGGGGAAAAAATAAAATGGCACAATTTGAAGGTGAAATACAAACGTAAAATCAAAAGAAGTCAAAAATGACCGGTTATATTTTGGGCCTCAGAGGGTTAATCCAACAAATCATGAAAAATTAGGTTTAGATTTTTGTGCATGACAGTGCAGATTTCTGACATTTTGTGTAATTTAAGCTGTAACGATTTTACCTTTTTTTTCTAACAATAAACAGTGAAACTTAAGTTAGACTTGTGTTGGTAAATGAACCGCCCCATGTGGTGTAGCTTTCTGGATCGTATACTTACAGCGTTACATCTTTATTTATTATCCAGGCTATACAGTACATAACATCACATGTTTTATGTCACTAAAGTGTTTAATTATGGGGGCTACAGAAAATAATTAAGTTATGGACTATATTTCTATGAAAAACGTGTATACTTACTGCATTTGAATCATTTTAACCATATGTAACCACCTGCATGTGTGTTTGAAAAAAAGGGCTTTGATTTTGCCACCCTCATGCCACCCTAAGAAAATTTCTCTAGATCCGCCCTTGGTCCAGTGGGTCAAATCGAATCCTTTGCGGACCAATTCTGGCCCCCAGCATTGTCTGTTTGGCACACTGCCCTATGATAATACAGAGAAAACCCAATAATCAAATGGCAACCTTTGATCAAGCCCTTGGCAACAGTGGGAAGGAAAAACTCCCTTTTAACAGGAAGAAAATTGTATAATCCGAACAGGGAGCTGGTTCCATAGAAGAGCGGCTTGATCAATGTCCCAGGACCACAGATCGCTGCTGTTACAGCACGAAAGTGGGGGTCTTCCTGCTGGCCAGCACACAGTCTGCTTTAACATCACGCTGGAGCTACCTGTGCACACCTGTCAGAGTCACTCCTCTCTGATCTTCTACACTTTCTTCCCACCTCGAGGTGGCTGCTGCTGTTAATTTAATTGATTTAGTTAGAGCCAAATTGCAATAACACATCAGAAGAACAAGCTGGAGAAGATTTCTGGTTTGGTTTGTTAAAAAAAAAATTGTCATTATGCTTTCTAAGGTTTAATATTCAATCACAATGAGAGGGGATTAACAGCTAAGGAGTTTCAAAAACAACTTATTCAGGGAAAAAACACCCCAAAAACAAAACAGAACACAGCCAGAGATTGAAGAGTCCATTCAGTTTCAGGAAAGTCACTAAAACCGGTAAAACTGAAGCAAATCTGTCCAGAGGGGCCGATGGCGCGATATGGCAGCCTCGCTTCTGTCAGTCTGCTCCAGGGCAGCTGTGGCTACAAGTGTAGCTGCCTCCACCAGTGTATGAATGGGAGAGTGAATGAATAGTGGCATTGTAAAGCGCTTTGGGTGCCTTGAAAAGCGCTATATAAATCCAATCCATTATTAAATCTGCAGTTTGTCTGAGAGGAATTAAAAGTAAAAAGTACGTTTTAATTCATTTAAAACAGTCATATTTGCACAAAGAATTAATACACTTTCTTTAGTTTTGATAGAGAGCGTTAATG